TTAAGTGGTGTGTAGCTAAAAACATTTTCACAGACTTCTAGTAACATGTCGTGACTTAAACATAAGAACATATTATGGCTAAGGCTACAGTTATACACGTCGTAATAATAATATTAAACACCCTGTCTGCTGACAGTCATCAACTCTTCTCTCTAGTTATCCTTGACCAGATGTACCCTGTAGAAACTCATAAGCATGCCTAAGCATTTAACAGTCTAACTAGACATCCTATCTCCACTAAACATTTCTAATACATAAAGTATCTATCCAATTTCTATCTGACTAAAAATACCTAACACCACAAAGTTAGTAAAGTGATTAGTTATAAAGGTTGTCTGTCCATCAAATAGGGATCAAATGGTGTACAAAATACACCGGACCATACCATGGTTTTTGAGTTGAGAATGAATTCATTTTTCATAACAGCAAAAAGGGAATAGGGCAAGAGGACAAACATGGAATTTCATTACTTAAAGAACACAAACAAAGGAATGTTAGCCAATGGTCTTAAATGAAATCAATATTCAAGATACTGTGACATCTTATCAGTTTCTGTGAGGATGTGTGTGTGCCCAAAAAGACCTTCTGCACATACAACAAGTCCTGGTTTACAGCAAGACTCAAGCAGCTTCATCCTGCCAAGAGGAGGCTTACAGATGTGGGGACAGGACTCTGTACAGCCAGGCAAGGAACACATTGACAAGGGAGATCAGAGCAGCAAAGAGGAGCTACTTTGAAAAGCTGAAAGCTCAGGTTTTAGCCAACGATCCCTTGTCCGTGTGGGGGAGCCTGAAAACCATCACTGGCTATAGAAAACCATCCCCCCTGCTGTGGAGGACCGTCAACTAGCAGATGACCTGAATGTATTCTACTGCAGGTTTGACAATCAACACTCCCCCCTCAACCTCTCCACTTCAGACCCAGCAGCTGCTCCCTCGCCAATCATCATCCTTCCCTCCAGCCCCCCACCTCTAACGCTCTGTGAAAAGGATGTGCTTGGCCTCTTTAAAAGACAAAAGATCAGAAAGGCTCCAGGCCCAGATGGTGTGACCCCCTCCTGCCTGAAAGTGT